AGAGAGAGAGAGAGACGCGCGAGGATTGATCGCACGAATGATTTATCGGGAGAAGTGCACTGCCACAAGTGATAATTGATTCCGAAGAGCGGATGTATCCCTCACCATAGAAAATCCTCTTTTATACGATGTGCTTGGTACATTAAATTATTACAGCTCGGGAATAATAAATTTTTACTAGCGTGAACCTAATTGGACTGCATGGAGTGCTAATTGATTATTATTCACGCTAAAACAAATGTGCCGTCTTAACTTATATGCTATACGAACAATTGTAATTATACATCAAAAGTATCGCATTTACATTAAATCCATCTCTGCGTTATTTTACAAATGTACCGTGTTTAAAGATAAAGTTTGCAAAATTTCAAAATATTGTTGCAGGTAATTAGTGATCCTCAAGCACAGGAAGGACAGAATGCATAAAATTGCACATAATTTATGTATGCAAATATTTTCTGAGAGAGACAACTAATTAATAATTTATGAGAGTAAACTGTGTACACAGTTGCAATCGCGCGAATTAATTTCCTACGAGGAATTTACGCGGAAGCACTTTTGATTGGTGGTGTTGTTACGTGAGAAAACTTCTGCGAGTGGAGTTGGGGCAACCAAGATGTTAATGGATGGACGGATGGATAGCTATCCCTTGAGATATATATATATATATATATATATGTACACATACATACATACATAGGTATTTGTGCGCGTATACATATACATATATACATATATATATTTATACCGAATCGGGGCAAAATGGTGAGAATCAGATTTCCGGGTGTAGAATATCTCATTGCAACGCGCAATTCGAGAAACTGAGGTCAGAGCATGCCCGTATTACGCAAGAACATTTTAGCCCATTTTGGTATGGCACATGATGAGCATATTGATATGTCATTCAATGTTATAATGAGATAAAGCCATCCGTTCTGTCATTTGTTCACTGGTTTAACAACTGGTTTAACTCGTATAAAAATCATGGAAGATATCGTAGCTTTAATAAGTGCGATTAAATTTATAATTATAATAAACTAAAACTATCAATAATTTAATATATATCTTAACATTCATATATCATAACATTTTATTGACAATATAATCATCGAGGTAGGTTACTCTGATTTCTCGAATTTCTTTGCTATCATGCAAAATCTCCGTATTTTCTCTTTGAATGAAACATGCTTCCTTTATGTTTATATATCTTTATGTCGTAGTCAAATTTTTGAAAGCTTGTTTCTAAAAGTAGCGACGAAAGAAAATGCCGCTTGTTTAGAATGACCAAATAAAATTGAAATATATTTTTTCGCGCATCTAAATTACTTTTTCCGCAAATATGAACGTACTGACGTTTCACATGTAGTATAAATCAAAGTATAACATAGCGAATCAAAGGATATTTTTGCTTACTTTGTCTGTAGCGTCCAGCACGATCCGCGGGATGTTTGCAAGCGCGGTAATCACCGCGGGATGTCCGGCGATGGCTGCATGATGAAGGGCAGTTGCACCGGTGGAATCGGTGGCCTCTCCGTTTAACGATTCTACCGCTTCCGCGAGATACTCCACCACGGCTACATTGCTGCCGCGAGCACCGCACATTAACAGCGTATGCTGTTTCTAAATAGAAAGAAATCTGCTGTTTATGCCCTGTTGTAAAGGGAGCGCGTCTCGAAAGGGTATCGCGGCTTTTACGTTGCGACATCCCGCGTACTTTCAGCCCGCAGGAAAGGGACAGAGGAAGGGACTGTCGGACTCCTTCGTATCGGTTCTCCTTTAATTCATCATCTCCGTTTTTTTTTTTATCCATATCGGCACGCACGTGATAAAATCCAATGCGACGTGCCGAGAGACCGCGGAGAAGAAAGCTCGCGCTTATCATTTAAGGCCCGATGTCAATATCAATGTTGACACATTATTGATTTCAACTTCGCTGCGGTTTCCCAGTGACTTAGTTCACCTTTTTTCACGATCTCCGAGAGATTTCTGTTTCGATATTTCCTTTTTCTATATAATATCCACGATCAATAAAACTCCAATTAAACGTACGATTTAATCCCGCGCAACATGCTCCGCAAATTTCCGTTGGGTGAACTTTTCGCATTATTTAAATAAAGTTTCCTCGTTATCTAAATAAAATTCTCTTCACGCGACGATTACCGCAACGTCCCGTGCAAGTTTTGTTTCACACTTAACAGATTTCACAACGAGTCTCGACACTTGCAAAATCTGTCCTTAACAACGAGCGGCTTGCTTTTACGCGAAACGTTTGGTGGAACGATCATTAAGAAATAATTGTTATACCTTGTTAATCGCGGATACATTAGCTCCGGCATTGATCAGCATCTTCACCGCGTCACGATGTCCGTGTTGAGCGGCCATATGTAAAGGGCGCATTCCATACTTGAAAGAGAAATGAACAGCCAGGAAATTAATGTTCGACGTGGAATTTCATCAAGTCGGTCGTCGGCTAGATTAAATTTCGAAAGAAGTGTCGCTCCAAAAATATATTAACGTTTCGTAATGGAGTAACCATTTATCAATACATTAATTTCCTGGAAATACTTGACGATATTAAATTTAGAGACTCCATTTATTTTTAATATGTAAGAATTTCCTCTTTTATGAGAAAATGTATTTTTTGTTATCCCTATTCAACGAACGATCTTTCTTCCTTTGATGGATTATATATAGTTCGAAAAAAATAAGAAAAATATATGCCGTACCTTATCTCTCGCTTCGATATCGCATTTGGCTTGTATCAACATTTCAATAATTTCTGTGTTTCCTCGAGACGCTGCCCAATGAATTGGAGCACGACCATACTAAAAGAAATTTTAACCAAATTAACAAATGTTAGAATGTTAGCTCATCGCTCTTAATAATATCAAATTAAAATTTTACGGGAATAAAGTTGACGTCAAACTAAATGAGATATAATGTTTCATTAAATATTTTTTATCTTTTTGAAGCATTTTTAACGACTTACATTATTTCTGGAATCTACGTCAACAGTCTCCTTAAGTACTTTACGAACGGTGTCCGCTTCGTTCTTTATCACAGCCTCGTGTAGAAGAAGATCATTCTTAAGGACTGAAGGAAAGATGTACAATATAGAAAATCACGTAAAACGAATAATACGTATTTAATAATAAAATTAAAAGTTTATTTTTTAAACAACAGCAAAATTAAAATATACTAGTTTTTACATTATAAACCAGTTTTTTAGATGAAATACGTTACAAAATGATTTTACATGAATTCATATAAAATAAGTTAAATTAATGTTCTAACATAAATTTTTCAATCTCTTTGTTTTTTCTTCTCCTTTATTTTTTAATAATATAGGTCAAACCATTTTTTTTATCGTAATAAATGGATAATAAATGGATATACACGGATTAACTTTTCAATTCTTTTATATATATATTTTTTGTAAAATATGTTGAATCATCTTTTCAGTACAATATGAATGTTACACGGATTCATTTCTCCATTACGTTGTATGGTTTTTTACGAAAGTAGGATTTCGAACGAAAAACGAATGAAAAGGTATGGATTCAATTGATTCGCGTGTGCGTTGCGGGTTTTTATTTTAACTTCCGACAGTCATGTCATAACGCACACGTGCTGTCGTTATTGTTGCACATTGTTTTTTATAATTTCGGGGCCACACAGATACAGGATATCGATCATGTGTGCAATGGAGGTGAAAGGAAGGAAAGCGGGCAGGGGACGAAACACACGAGTACACAGCGTACTGTTAATTAGTTGAATGGTTGATTTTGCGAATGTCCGATGCAAATTGAATATCTTTTTATTTCCACGCGACTGTATGTTAATAGACTGTGTGGTAAAAGCAAAGCAATAAAACGCGCAAACATTTTTTAATTATACGAAAGCATAATTTTTTTTTAAATCTTGCTTTTTTTCTGCAAAGAAAGCAAGCATGACGAAAAAATATACACGGCAATTGCCTCGAAGAAATTATTTTCCTCTCGGCTGTGTAAACGCAAGATAAAAGAATGATTAAAGTCATCGTTCAATATTATACTATCATCGCTTTTGCGAGTAAACAGAATCCTGTTTTATCGAACGATAAATTTATATGTTTATATATGCAAATGTTTATTTATAATGTAAAGTCCGTTGTTGTCTCGACGGTATAGCGAGTGATCGTAAACTATTAGAAATGAAAAATTCGTTTGGTTTGAAGAAAGCGGAAATTCTGAAAGGCCAATCGGTTACAAGAAATCCAGGCAATTCGGTGCCTCAAATGTATGACTGGTTTTTCCGGCTTTACCGTAAATCTTGGAAAATGGAGAACGTGAATCTCGCTTCTACACTTCTCATATATTCACGTTTTACTTGAGATCACCGAGACAGCTTTAAGTCTTTGCACGCTTCGTAGCACATTTTGTATGAGACTGACGCGGTACTTTACTCACTTCTAGCAGTCTTTTGGTTCAGCACTTCATCCTCGATCGCCTCGCTGAGATTCAGCGGCGGTGGGGCCTTTGCCTTCGTTATACCCAAGTCTTCCTTGTCCACCATCTTTCACTGTCGTTGTTTCCAGTCTTGCATTGTCATCAGTGTCGCGGGTTTCCCGGTCGTTGTGCGACGCTAATGCACCAGAGTTACAGCTCTGTCGTTAATTCAATCAACGACCTAGAAAGTCAAATGGTGTTGAGTGACGAAATGTATGAATGCAGAATCGTTGAAATTACAAGTTCAAAAGAAGCCGAAATCGCTGCAATATATCACTGAAGCAACAGTTTCGTATGAAGAAAAAAATTGACATGACAATCCGAATTATATAAATTTCGAATTATATTTGAATTGAGGAAAATACCATAAAAAGTATTTCCTAAAATAATAATTAAATTTGTGATGTATTATATAAATTATTAAACGGCAGATATATAGATTCAATGGTTTCTATTTTCCCTGATATTTGAAAGATAAGTTAAAATATGGCAACAGTTTATTCGCCATTGGTTTATCAGTGTTATAGGTGTTAATTTATTATATTTATCAATTATCAGAAACATTCTCGCTGCTTGTTATACGAAATTGGAATAACCATCTATTAAAATTTGCATATATCTTGTGCAATTACAGCTTATATGGTCACCAGAATACATCAATGTCGGACGAATTAATCGCGAGTTTTACCATTCTACATTTCAATTTCGTCGTCTTTTGAATTTTCCCGTTTTATCGCGGTGAAATCTGTTATTACAATTTGCTTTCCACGCGGTCACAATACGGTTAGAATGAATAATATACGTTTCGAAGCTTGATTAGCAGGATACAATGTATAATTTATGAATGATAATTAACTCACTCACATATTCTAATTTTTGAAATTATGAGAGACATTATGCTACTAGATTTGATATTTACATATATTTTAATATTTCAAATTAATCGACATAGCAACAACTATAACGTATTTCTGAATGCCCTAAGGCATTTCACGTGATGCTTCAAATATATATACATATATATGCGCTTCGCGATCGTTGATTAATGCTTCAAAATTAATATAAGAATATATTGATGGAAATACATGTCTTGCCATGAAGCAATTTTACAGTTAATCAATCGCATAATTATTTCATTATCTCTATTCTACTCTCTTCAGTTCTGATTTCGATGTTCTTTTCACGTTCTCTCTTTCAAGTTCTGATGTCTTTATACTTATTTCGTATTCTACGGTGAATTACAAAACGACTACGTCCATGATTCGACATTCGTTTAAACGCAGTTACATCGCGAATATTTACTCGACTGCAAATTTTGTCGGAGTTCGTTATATAGTAATGTTTGTTTTATCACCGCAGAACTAGAACTACCTAAAGAGAGAGAGAAAGAGAAAGAGAGATGCAATCGCAATGTCAGAAATGTCTAAATTTCCTAGATTATCCCGCTACATTGTAACAAGAAAAGCTTCCCTATCCCTATTATCTTACAAGGCATTTCCGCTTTGCTTAATCTCTATTCTCCAACTTATCTCTTTGACGCTTCAAAGCGTACTATTTCGTAAATAAATGATATACTACATGTTATAAATATAAATTTTAGTTTTTTAAATAAGAATCTATTAACCTATATATGTGTGAGTGCTAATATTATCAGTTTTGAATTCTTATATTCGATTAAATTAATATCACTTCATTTTAAAAACGAGTTAATCAAAGAAAATGTCAGCCATTGAAATCGAATACAATCAATTTGGAAAAAATATTACATTTTTGTTTCATTGTATAACTCGTCTATGCAAATATTCATTTAGAAGAAAATATAGAGATCATATATTGCAAACTTATAACGTACTATAAATCCGTTATGTAATCTGTAATCATGTAACTTTCAAAGTAAATTTTCAGAAATTAGGCATGTTTAACGTGATTCGCTATCGCTCGTCCGAATATATGGCAAATTTCATATTAAATTAATTTTGTTGAATGAGTTAGAGTACGATTTCCATCATATCTATAGCACTTGCGGCAATATCTCATAAATTTTGTAATATTCCGCTGAATCAGATCGGATTCATGGAACCGCAGAAACTCTCTCCGATAATCGTGTTTAAATGGGGATAGAAATTATGTTCAAATGTTCTCGCATTCGTTACTAGATCTTTATCAGAAAATCATGTTATATTTGTACTTTCTCCCACTCTCTAATTAAGATGTTTAAAGTTTTTTGTTGGAAAGAAGTGCAGTGGGAGAGATATATAAAATATTAGCATAATCGCAACATGCGTAGAATATTTAATTTGTCGGTGGACATTGAAGGAATATTCTTTGTAGAGAAACGCAATATAATTTAATATTATAATTAGTATTACGGTATAATATGTCACAAATAGTATAATATTTTTGTGTTTAATTCTTTAATTCAATGTAGAATATTCTTAAAAGAAAGCTTGAACAAGAAAGCATATCAACTAGTTAGAAATGTTTCTGAGTTACATTATATTTCATTGTATATCTGTTGGTTGGGAAAATGCACTTTTACGGGATATTCATTAGCGTTGCAAGTTATGACTGTTATTTATTTTTAATGATTGATTGCGGTTGACTGTCAAGCTGCTGCCATCACGTGGAGTTTATCACTGAAATCCTACATAATCGATACTGCTAAAATTTGTTGAAAATTTTGCATTTATTTAATTCTTGTACGACTTCTTGGATCCTTCTCATTGTTACAAAGTATTTCGATACATGTCAACAATTTTCATTATACCAACAAATTTAGTACATCAAAAATATTGAAAATGTTATAATATATACGTATTTAATATCTTTTTATATATATAAAATTTTAATATAATAATATTAATAAATTATATTATATTTATTATATTTAATTATTATTCAATTACATTTAATTTTAAATATTGTTTTACGGTAAAATAAATGAAATAGATCGTTTTGCTGTATATATTTATTATATACGTAGGTATAATATTGCAACTTAGTATCGTTCATTTTGTTATTCCGAGGCAGATATTAGTTCCATTACCTGCATAACATGCTATTGTACATTTCATGGCTACACGTGATCAGAGTTACTTTTTACGTTACTTTTTCAGTAACGCGTTGTTTCGTAATGTAATATCGGGAATGATGTTTCCGTTTCCTGATCATCCGCGCAAAGCGCATTCATCCGCATATTGAAAAGTAAATGCGCGATCTGTGCAATGCATTAAACAAAGCGGCATAAATTACTGTCAGTGAAGCTAGTCGAATTACAATACTTTATTATCTGTACTTTAGATTGAAAGTATCATTTAACTAACACGACAACTCTTTTATCATCTAAAATGTAGAAATCTAATATAACAATAAATTTTGTGACAACTTCAAGCTGATATTAATTTTACATATTAATAATTAAAAAAAATATTTTAAACGATAAAAATAAATATAAATATATAAAAATAAATATATTGATAATGATTTCGATTTAAAATAGAATTGAATTAAAAATTCGACTCTATTTACGATGTAATCATAAAAATGTTAATCATGAACTTGAAAAAATTATTAATAAATATGAACTAATAAGTTAGCGTATGTGAGATAAATTGATATTATTTCTAAAAGATTATATGTTTCAAAAACAGCATCTTTGAAATACGAAGCAACGAAGATTATTATTTAGCTTTATTATTTGCAACTTATTCGCATTAGCATCGTGCCGACGGGGGAAGTGCAGTTATTAAATTAGCGAAAGAATTAGCAAAGTAAGGATTTAGCAACTATAAGTCATAAATCTTTATCGTTGAGGGAGGCGTAAACTCGAAATATATTATCTCCAGCTGCCACCATTTTTCATATTTTACCGTCACGCAAGTATATAAGTCGACATTTTTCTCTAAAGAGTTAAACCGGCTAGCGACGAGATGCTGTGCTCTATTTTATATCTCTTCGGTTCTTTTCGAAACTCTTTCTAACGTTTTTTGTCTTATTAAGTTTTTTCCTGTTACGTCACGTCTAAAATCTCGCTGTTGCATTTATGCATTTTGTTTTATGAGACACGTATTGTGCAAGTGAAGAAATATCTTTTGTAGTATATATAATGAGTTGCATTTGCTTGCGAATTTTTCCAGAGAAAAGAGGAGAAAAGAGGATAAAATTTTTGTATGATTGCGTCAACATATTAATCGCGTATGCTTCTTATTGAGTTTATCAATGTAATAATCTTAATATTGTAATGTTACAACTTTTATAATTTGTCATAAAGATTGAGACTGTTTGATGAGCTAAGGAATCTTTTAATGTTCAGAGATAAAATAATTTAGAATACTAAATTGCAAGATTTATTTTAATTATAAAGTTACCTTTAAAACAAAGTTTACAAATTATAAACTTATTCCTTAACTAATTCTTAACTTACTTCTATTGTTATTCTGAACGTTTTACTTGAAAGAAGAAGGTGCGAAGAAGAACTAAATAGAATTTTGCTAAAAGAGAATTTTATTTCTTTATAATATTAAGATAATAATTTGACAGATAATTTTTATTCTACTAGAACTTTGTTGTCTACGAGAACTTTTGTACGATGTATAAACTTTCCCAAATCGATCACTAGTGCACTTAATTATACGGTTTTGTGGTGAGCGATCGAAGCACGTTTAGCACGCGGCCAATGACAGATGCACAATTGGATTTCGAGGAACGTTTCGAGGTGTACCATTGTTCTCTCTGTACCCATTGCCAACACATGCGGTAAGGTTTCGGTGCTGTGCAATGCGATGGTATACTGATCTCTCGAATGGAACTCGAATGTCACAGCCAGATATAATAGACGTATGCCGAAATTGAAGATGATGTACAGTAAGATAAAGAGAGATGAATCTAAGATTTGATTTATTATTCTCGTCAACTTTGTTGAGAAAACTTAAAGTTAAAATTCAAATCAAGTCATCATGATAAGGATTAAATTTAATTTGCTGTAAATATTGCAAATATGAAATTTACACTCTTAAAGACTTATTGAAATTATAGCGCAATTTGAAGAATTTTAATCATAGTCCTTACTAGCCCAATATTGTCATTCTCATAATCTTGTGAAAGCTATAATATCTATTTATTTCTTAAAATTAGTGCGATATAGTATGTAGTAATTTTTTAAATATTTTTACACACCACTTT